ACCAGACTCCATCACCATAGAATAGAATAGAAAAGACTACACCAGAATAGAATAGAATAGAAAAGAATAGAATAGAAGAACCGACCACACCAGATTCCATCAGAATACAATATAAAAGACTACACCAGAATAGAATAGAAAAGAATAGAATAGAAGAACCGACCACACCAGACTCCATCAGAATAGAATAGAATAGAATAGAATACCAAATCACCGAACAGAACAGAGACTAGAATAGACCAGACCAGAATGGAATAGAACAGAACACAAGAGAACATAACAGACCAGACCACACTATACAAGAATAGAATTGAATCGAATCAAATCGAATCTAAGAACAGAAAAAAACAGAGACTAGAATGGACCAGGCCAGACCAGAATAGAATCCAATCCAATACAACACCAGGCCAGACTACACTACACTAGAATAGACTAGAATAGAATAGAAGTTCATCTAAGGTTTTCATGCTAAACTGAGTTAAAATGAAAAAAACAGCACTAACAGTATCCTTTGTTTTAGCTGGAGGAGGAGTTACTGGATCTGCAGAAGAAGATGAAGCAGACGGAGGATGAACTGGACAAATTCTCTGAGGGCCTGAAAGATGCTCAGGAGAAACTGGAACTGTCTGAGAAGAAAGCTGCAGATGTGAGTGAACGGCACGCGCACACACAGGAGGGTTCGGTGTCACTTCATTTTCAGGACACTTTACTCAAAGTTAAACTAGAAATCAAACTGCCAAATAACCATGACCATTACAGTCACTGAATCCTTGAATCCCGTAAAGAAGAACAAAGGATGTTAATACTTGTTTCATCTGACTCTGGCATGCACACATTACTGTGGCACTACTGAAAACTAGGGACCATTCTTCCACAGCTGGACTCTTTCTAAGCCGGCACCAGCTGTGGCTTTGCTTTGATCCTCGGTGAACGATTTGGAGCACTTCAGAGACAGTTACATTCCTGTGCAGCCACTCCTGAAAGATGAGCACACGGTTAAACTATAATCCCTTCACCCAAACACACACACACACACACACACACACACACACACACACACACACACACACACACACACACAC